AAAGTGGGAGCAACATCGGTGCTCCAGATAACCATGAACATGAACCATAAACAAGGTGGAGACGTTGGTGTCCAGCACAAGACTTTCCCAGAACTCATTGAAGCCAAATCATGTCATGAATTCACATGCAAGCACGCATGATATGCAATCGAATAATTAATGTAAGAAACATTTCACAAGTACTTTGGAAATAGTTTAGGGTCACTCACCTCCACGGCTCCGAAACTATCCATCATATTGCATTGCCTTGCTCAAACCCAAGTCTTAGATCACAAACTCAATGCAAACAAATCCTTTAAAAGTTCGGACAGCACTTCCCCTAAATTTGCTTACTTTTCCAGCCGTCATGGCTTCATGATTTCCTCATTCCAACCCAAAGGTACACACACAACAACAAGTTCATCCAATAGCCATTCAGCAAACTCCAAGTAGTACAAAGACAAGTCAAGCTAGGGAAAAGTCCGGAAATGAAAGTTAAGCTCAAAACCAGAAAAACAGTTTTGACGTCATTTTGCGGTAATGGTGCTAAAAGCACTACGATGGTCGGATGAAGGTACAAGACCCACCGTTTCGAAGCTAAGAGATAGGGCTACAATATTTCAGAAGGTCACTCAACCTAGTTTCGAGTGTAACCAGGTCAAAAATGCAAGATACCATACCGGAATCACAAAAACAGATTCACAGAACGCATTCTAGCGGAAACATCATAAATCAGGTTATCCAAGTCCAAATCCAGAAATTCCAAAACCAACTGAAATCTAAGAAACAGGGCTACATTTCATCAGAAGACCTCAACAACCAATTCGGAAGCAATTCCAGTCAAAACAACCAATTACAGTCGCAAATCCCAATTTCGGGTAAACCAGAACAGCAATAGTAATTTCAACTTTTCTCACTCGACACAACTCCGATTGACCTGAAATTTTGTAGGCACCTCTAAAATGTCATTCTATACAACTTTCATGTTTTAAGCCAAGGCCAATTCGGCCTCTATCTAGGACCTAAAAATTCGGACAGAATGTTCATCACAAAACCCTCACTTTTCAATTTTTGGTCCAAAACAGAAATTGGTTGCAATTAATCACTTTTTCCACCTCATAGAGCCCTTAAACATCATTTCCAATCATCATACATGACCACATAATCATGCTTATATGAAAACAGAAAAATCCCCAAAAATTATAAAACTTCACCAATTCAACCAAAATCAAGATATAATCCATAAAACCATCTCTTTAGCCATCACAAGTCACTAATTTAGCATAATCAAGAACAAAGAAAGGATTGCTAGACATGAACCTTGAAATATCAAGAAAGTTGATGGCTTAGTCCTTTGCCTTCTCCAATCACTCCACCACTACCTTCAATCTTCCTAAACAAGTGACTTTTGTGGAGGAATTCGAAAGTTTAACGGTTGATTCACAAGATTGAGCAAGAAATGGAGTTGGAGTTGAAGGCTTTCTTCTTGTATTTTTGATCCAAGAGGTTCGGCCAAGCTTGCAGAAATTTAGGTGATTTTTGGGTCAAAATTGAGTATTAGTAAAGGTAAGAAATAATGGTCAAAGTCCAAGATTAAATCACAAGGTGACACTTGTCACCTTTTTGGTTTAAAACTTATCTTTTTGTCTCTCCAATACAAATATCTTAACACTTTGTAAAATAATATCACTTAATACAAAATTCTAACAAGTTGTCAAAAATATAATGCATTTACAGCACTTGTGGGTCCCACGTCCAAAATACGCTTTTAATTTCTCAAAAACTAACCGATACTAGAAAATCATTTTAAAACTATCTTTGCTCATAAACTTTATCTGGGGAATTTTTCTTATAAAGAAAATGTAGAAAAGGCGGGCGATTACATAAAATAAACCCTAGAAAATTAGAAAATTTTCGGGTTCTCACATTCATACTTTTCGGGGCGTCACACTTAGTCAAAGTCAAAACTTCAAGGCTTTGTGATAAATGGCTTCCAAGGGTTTATCCTCATCCTGTTGTCTTCCCATCACAAAAATATCTAGTCAACATCTAATTATCCCTTAACACCTTATAAAATAATATCCCTTTGCACAAAACTCCTCCTAATCTTCAAAATTTATTACACACACCACACTAGTGGGTCCTACTATCATAATGTAGTACGAACTTAACATGCACTAACTTATGGCAGAAAATTGATTAAAAATCTTGACTCTCTTACAAAAATATCTAGGAAATTAAGGCATAAAATAAAGTAAAGAAAATGTATTCAAAGAAATAAATTAAATAAAAATAATTTTTTGGGTCCTCACATAATGGCTGTTTCTTGAATTTTTCTAAGCATTTTTTGGATGATTTTCCTTCATAGATGATGTTAAAATGTTTTTTTTGTGGAAAAAAGGTTTTGAAAATATGGTACATAAAGGAATTGAAACAAGAGTGAAGACTAACTTAAATTCGATAAAGAAGCTAATTTCTTTATGAAGTGAAGCTTCTAACTTGGTTTCAATTGGTTTTGGTTCCTAAAAGAAATTTGGAAATAATTTTCAAATTTTAATATGATTAAAACTAAAAAGTTTCTGAATATTTAGGTGTACAAAAAGTTTTTAAAAAATTCTAAATATTAGAAAAGGCAAAAAGTTCTCCTAAGGCTTTTGGGTTCAACCAGCGCTAGATTCTCATGGATCAAGGCTAAGATACAACACTGGATCTCGAATAGAATGGTAGACTATCAACCTGAGTTTGGAACCGGTGATGGATTGACTGAAGGTTACTCTGGATCCAGCGCCTCATCATAATCAGCGAGGCAACCATCTACCCGATGATTAAATCTGACACCAGATTGCCCAAACCTGAATTGGATCAAGCACTGGATCCATCTAGGATGGATGCGAAGAATAGACCAAGCCTCAGCAAATCGATTGAGCCAGGACCAGATATAGTTGGGTCTAAACTAGTTTTTCTAATTTTTCTTATTCTTAAACTTCAAGACTTGAAGTCTAATGTTAGTTAAAGTTTAGGCATAATAATGATTCATGATTAGAATTAAAAATTTTCTTTATTATGGTCTTATTTAATATAGCATTATATGAATGTATGATGACAATTATAAATTTAAGACTAAAATTATTGTGAGTGGATGAATGGATAAATGTTTTGGTTTTGTATTAGTATTTTTTTAAAGGGATAATTGCAGAAACCTCCCTTGAGGTTTTTAACAATTTCATTTAGCTCGCTAAAAATTACACATACCTCCCTTGTCATTTAAAATGACAATACTAGCCTTAAATATTTTAATGAAATTCCCTTGTTTGACATGTTTATACTTAGAATGACTTTTAAAATTATTTTTTCATTCTTTTTCCTTCTTTTTTTAATATTTTTTGTCAATAAAACTATATACCTAGCACTAATATCTCTAGTTTCTACTGTAATCAAATGTCAAACTAGTGATTTTTTATGAATTAACTTATAAGTAAACCAGTGTTTTTACTAATTTTTTTTTATTTTTTGGTATTAAAATTAACAATAAATCAAAAAGAAATGGCCCAAAACCACTATTAAATTATGATAATCTCATTACTCAAAAAACTCATAAACTTTAAACGAATTATTTCAACATTGTCTTTTCTATCTTATAAATCTAAATCCATAATAAAATAATACCATCAAAAGTATCCTATCATAGTGATAAAATAGTTATTATAGTTGTTTATCAAATAGTAGGCATGGACATGCAAAATTTGACATCTTTTCCTTATAATTATACTGGATAATCTTATAATTTATAGGAAAATAAATTAAAACTCATTACACAAGGGCATTTTTGGGTATTCATTTAAAAATTTGATCAAGTCAATATTATTTTAAGGTTTTGTTACTAAAACTATTAAATCAAGAGAGGTAGATGTAATTTTCCAAACCTCGGGAGAGTTCAATGAAATTGCCAGAAATCTGAGGGGACGTTTCTGAAATTATCCCTTTTTTAAAATAGAACCTGCATGTAATTTTTTTTTATTGTATTGGATGATTTTCCTTTCTGCGTTTTACTTTGTCTTGGTGTTGAAGAACAAAAAGTGCTTAGGTTGTACTAGTTTTGTTGTACCAATAGTTTTGATTACTCAAATCTTTCAGCAATTTAATTTAATGTAGCCAAAGGATAGGTTTCATTATGACTTTCATTACTGAAAATTTTACACGTCTGTGTTCAAATAAGTAAGGTAATTTAGGCTTGAATTTATCCTCAGCATAATAACTTGTATTTCAGTTCTGATTTTAAGAGTAGCTAACAGACTTTGTGGAGAAATTAGATCATGAGCCACTAATATATGGTCATACAATTCCATATGTCAGATATGTTCACACGATAAAATTGTTCTAAGGACTCTGATCCTATGAAATTGAGCTCCAAATTTGCTCCACTATTGAGTATCACAAAATCTTACAGTACACATTGTTGCTTACTAATTCTAAAAAGTTGTACGCAATTTAGAAAACTTTTCAGATACAGAAGAAGTTTGGTTAGATTATACAATTGAGATTCCCAAGTCTAACTTGGTGGCTCTTGAACTTTATTATGAATATGAAAGTCACACACTTTGTTTCGTGGGCAAAATAAATGGGACATTGTAGAAACAAGAGTACGAAAAAAAAAAGAAAACAAAAAAACCTATGAGATACCACAAATGTGGCATACCTCATGGTAGATGATCCCAAAATAAATATGTATCCAATGACCATTTTGGCATTAAAGCTCTCGAGGTTCAGTTTTGATTTGCACCAGGACAATCGACCTCAAACTATATGCAAAATTTGTTGTTTTGGGGATGGATCAAATCTCAATTGAATTTCAATCACCTATGTTCAATGAGTTTTCGGAGCTCCAAATTCTTGCTAATTATTTGACTAAATGATATGTTTGGTTCTGGTGTCGTTTTACTTGTTTATGGATGAATTAGTAATTAAAAAGGAGGGACGAGATCAAGCTGTTGTACTGTTAGTTCAATAACTTATTATTTCCATTTCAGAACGCAATAGGCAATAACTTGACTAGTTTCCGGTCATAAGTAGTACATAAACTATACATTTGCATATTGGAAGAGTTTATGCTGGTAACACATAGGCTTTAGTTATTTCCGTTTCAGAACGCAAATATATAGGTAATAATGTGACAACATCTTCAAAGTCCGAAGTGTTACATAAACTATACATTTGCATTTTGGAAATCATTTCAACCTTGGAGTGGTACTGGTATGGCCTTTAAAGGTACTGCTTTCCTGAGTGTTATCCCCATCCTTTCTCCCATGTCCAACTCTTCTGGTTTAATCCCATCAGCTAAGCTCCAATCAAACAAGTGCAAGATTGATCCTAGAGCCATTGGTAGCACTCGAGAAGCAAGAGGAACGGCCGGGCATATTCGCCGGCCAGATCCAAAAGGTATAAACTCAAAATGGTGTCCCTTAAAATCTGCAGTACTTGGCTCCAAAAATCTTTCAGGCTTGAACTCTAAAGGGTTTTCCCAAGTCTTTGGATCCCTTCCAATTGCCCAAACATTTACTAGAATTTGTGTTTCTTTTGGGATGTGGTAGCCTAGCATTTTGCACGAGTCCATAGCCATGTGAGGTACCAAGAAAGGGAACGGTGGATGTAGCCGGAGCGTCTCCTTCACTACTGCCTTAAGGTATGGAAGATTATCCAAGTGTTTTTCTTCTATCTTAGTCCCTAGACTAATCACGCTTCTCAACTCAGCTTGGACTTTTTCAAGAGTTTTTGGACTACGTAGAAGCTCTGCCGTTGCCCATTCTAATGTACTAGTTGTCGTGTCTGTCCCTGCTGTGAACATTTCCTGACAAACAAAAAGATTATGCAATCTAGACTAATTAATCATGTGGAATAAACATGTGTTCTGAGATTAATAACATGGTTAGATCCAAATTTGATAGTCAAAAGAAAACACAATGTTTTTCTCTTTTGCAGGGTAAATTTTTTGGTGGCAATCAGAACTGGAAGAATAGTTAGAAGCAAAGGATCATAATTGATTACTTACAAAGACTATAATGTTGATTGTTGTTGGAGAGAACTCAGGAGGTTCTTCAGCGCTTTCGCCTCGGTAATGCAACAGAACATCCAAGTAATCTCTTCTCCTCTTTTCAGGACTTGGGTGATCCGTTTCATCTCTATTACTTTCGATGATTCTCTCTTTTAAATATAATCCAGCGATGTCAAAGGCTCGTTTGACATGATACTGTGTTGATCTCCTAATACCCTGAGGGTCAAGCCATTTAAGCAATGGCAAGAAATCTGCAATGTTGGGCTTTCCAGCATATTCCATCACTTTGCCTGCATGGTAAAAGAACTTTGCACCCCTCTCAGAGCTTGGATCCAAAAGATCCTTGGAAAACATGAGATTTCCAATAAGATTGAATGCCAGCAAGAAGAAAAACTTTCCAACATCTATCCCATTGGCACCAGAACCTCCAGCAGCTTCTATATATTTCACCATCTGATCAATGCATTTAGCACGGACATCAACTGTTGCATCAAGCCTGCTCGTTACAAAGAACTCGGCGGTGCACAAGCGCCTGAGCATCCGCCAATGGGGACCATATTGTGCAGTTATAAGAGAGCCCTCATTGCCAATATCTCCTTTCATTGCCTCGTATATTTTCCTTCCAGCAAAAACCACATCATGGTTCTTGAACATCTCACGGGCCACTTCATTCGATGATATCACCACAGTGCACATTGATCCTAGCCAAAGAGTCATTATAGGGCCTTGTTTACTAGCCAATATAGCAAATGACTCATGGGCTGACCATCCCAATTGAAACATATTGCCCACCACCGGCCACCGCCTCGGCCCCGGTGGCAATCTTTCCAACTTTTCCGATGCATTGCATTTTCGCCAAGTCAAAATTGCCCAGGCAACCAGTAACAACAAGGCTACAACCAGCAGTTCTAATCCTATACTAGTCTCAGAAACCATTTTTCCCCTGGCTTAGTCTAAGAACTTTTGTATTTTGGGCTTTGCAGTTGAAGTTGATAAATTTTGAATACTCTCATATGTAGTCTGGTTTTTTCGTTTCTTAATTTTATTGAACTTAAAGAAAACAATGAGGAATTGACTTACACTCTAATGGAAACTGTTTGCTAATTAAACCTTTGAGATGTAGTTTCTGCTTGTCCCAAGTTTGAAGCCGAGTCATGAGTGGGCAGGTTCAGCAAATTTCGAAGCTGTACAAGAATCTCTAGATTTTGTTTAGAAATTTTTGTTGCTTCCCAAGTAACCTATGGAAAAAATAGGAATTATTTTCTCTATCAAACAAAAAGAATAAAATGGCCGACAAAAGATGAACGTTGTACATTTCGAACAAAGGTTGCGTGCTTCGTGTTTTCTGTTTATGATAATACAATCAAGTCTGTTTATGCCACTAAGAGTTAAAACTACAGAGTCAAACGATTGATTTAGAGCATCAATCCAAGCTATAATGGCTAATTAAATGCATTAAGACATTCATTTTAAAGAATGAAACATACCCAAGCAGCATACAAGGTTACATTAAATGGTCAGATTGAGCAAAAGTCATAGAGGATTCTCACAGTTGGAAGTTGAATGAAGTGGCGTCTGGTGCGAACCAAATGGCTTACTTTCTCTCCAAAAGAACTTTTCCGCTACTTTTTGGTTTGCTGAAATCTGTTTTATTATCTGAAAGTTTGTGGAAAGCTAAGTTTGCAAATTTTGAATCTTGTTCACTTGTGTTCTAGTATATATAGGCAAGTGAAGTTACTGCTGGGACAACGTTAAAGGTACAAGAGCTTTATGCAGGCTTAAGAAATTTCTTCATATATTAATCATTAGTTCCTAGGATTTTTGCTCCACATGTATATAATATGTGCACTTGTATGATGTTTTTAATGAAAACCCCAAAGATTTGGTTCAGAAAAATAATATTTAGTTCAGAAAGATAAAAGTTTATGGTTGTGAAAAATAATAAATTAAAATAATTGATAATATTCTGAGAATTCTTAATTTACGGAAACTATATGAAATCATTCATTTGTAGTTTTATATATTAAAAGATTTTTGTTTTACCTTCCCATTTTCAACTGTTATGTAGCATTTGAACTCTAAATTTGGCAGTAGGGAAGACTCTAAGAGTCCTACCTAACACAGGAGTGCATTAAAAGATAAAAGTTTGTAGGATGTGAAAAGAACAAATTGAAATGAATAAAAATATATTGAGAATTATCAATGTCTTGACGTTATATGAAGTCATTCATTTGTACTTTTGCAGGGTTGCCGAACACTTTCTCTTATCCTTTACATTATGATAGGTTAAACAATCGATTTTAGAAGATGCAATGTTTGCTTGACGTGTATGTAATCTTCTTAGTTGTGTAATTTTTCTCTGGGACCTTAACATAAATACTTAAATAAGAAAAAGTTAAAAGTCCGTGGAAGGTGACAAAGAAAAAATGAAAATAAATGAAGAGATTTTTGGAAATTCTAAATAGTGTCGAAGCCATGTAATCATGCATTTGTATTTTTGTAGGTTCACCTAACATTTCTTCTTATCCTTTCAATAATGACCCATAAAATTCCATTTATAAGATCAATTAGGAGGAGAAATGATTTATACCTAGAAATAAAGATATTAGCATTTGTTGGGCTTTCAGGGGATCTTGTTCTTGCAGCTTCAGGGCATCTATATAGTTCTAGTAAAACATTTTTGTAATTTGCTTGAGGCCTGGGGAGATCTCCTTTGGCAGTGGCTTGAGGGTTCTTGCTTTTGCTTCTGTCGCGACATATCAATTTTTCATGTTGGCTTTTTATGCCATTTTGTTTGTTTGAATCCAGGCATGGCAGATTCCCTATGCCTTAACGACCAATAATTGCTTAACCAGATGGTAATTGAGTCCATATTAGCTCCATAGTTTCCCACCTACAAATTACAGGGATGGGTTGTAGCTAGAAATCTTATTAAATTTGGTTCCTAAGTTTTAAATGTTGTATATACTATAAAATTAAGAACTAATCTTTTCTACATTATCTATCAGTGTATATATTGACGGGTTTGAATATCTTATACATTATTCCAATTTGAATTTGAATATCAAACTTTACACATGTCGTAACAACTTATTGACTCATGATATTTTGACAAATAAAGATCACCATCGCATTTATTCAAACAAATGTGTTAATGGCAACAGATGCATATATCAAGTACAAAAAATGCAAGGGATCTCCTTCCACAATGAAAAATCAACAAAAATAGAACTCTTGAAACTCCATATCTTTATCAGCAATGAAAAACGGTGGTTGTGGGCATATGGATGCAATGTTTCAAAACCGCCAATATAAACTGAAAGTATTCCTAATCAGGTAAGATGAGTTTACAGATGACAAGCAAAATCACATATTCCAAAGAACAACGAAAAACTCCCACAATTAAACCTTAGGAAAACAAAACTCTTGCTAGAAAAACCTGAGGGAAAAGACTATCCTTAAAAAGTTCTAGGATACATTAAACTTGCATAAACAAGAGATAAATCCATAGAGAGAGAGAGAGAGAGAGATCTAAATGAGGCTCGATTTTCAATGGTTTTTTTGTTTGATATGATTAATGACAATGAATACGCTCAATGTTGTTAGAAACTTAAAATATTGATCACAAAAAATATAACTCTTAATGTAATTTTGTTAGGACTAAATAAATAAAATCACAAATTGTAAGTCAAAGTATTCAAGTACCTTGTAATAACCAATTACGATATTATTTATGGTCCGTTTGTGTTAATTAAATTGTCACCTCATTGGCATGAAAAAGAAAACAGATTGCAATTATTTGCATCTAGTTAGAACAATGCTAAGAACTTATCTCCAACTAAATTCACACATAATATTATATGCATAACTATCTCAAGCAAATAAAACCTATAAGCACTTGGATCAAAGTTTTAGTCTTTTTATTTTGAAGACCCAACTCATTTTGCAAACTCTTCTTCCTCATCTTCCTCCTTATAAGGTATGGAATCTCTCATGAACAAAAACAAAAAAAAAAAAAAAAAGTTTTAGATTTGCCACCAAAACTTGACTACTTTTTAATCATTTTAACGATACAATGCATCTTTTTTCATTATTATTTTGTAAGTGCAAATGGAAGAATTCGAATCCGATATCTTTCACTTATACTTTATTCATTCGAATCACCCAATCTATCCCTCTCTCGTAATGATACGATGCATTAGTTAGGTTAGACTTGATCAAAAGAGGACATCTGGCATTGCTATTAACTTTATTCCCTTAATTTTGGTTGATATGCAGCTATACGGAACAGTTTTATTAAAGAAACAAAACCAAAATTGCAAATTACAAATTTGGTAAACAATACCAAAAGATTTGGAAAAACAATGAAAATTGGATTTTAAATTTTACCTTGTGTTATACTATGTTGTTAGGAATTGCATAATTAATTATATCTATCCTATTTAATATTATATTAATTTATGGTAATTATAAAGCTAAATATAATTTGCAATTGGAAGTAATGTTCCGACAAACTTTCAAGAAATACTATAACAATTTGTGTATACCCTACATAAGATAGAACAATCATACTCTGCATCCGCATAAGAGGGCACTTTTTTGGTTTATCTACTGAAATATTGTACATTTTGCAATAGATTTTCTCTTTGCTAATAAAAATAATACTGTCTTTTTCTTTTCTTCATTTGTTGATGTTCTTTATTTTAGTTTTTCATATTTTAGTTGCTATATTATTGTCCCACATGTCGACATTGGATTTCCAATATTCAATATCTCATTAGGTGATGTTTGTCTCTTTGTGTTGATATATGGAAAGATAATGAGAGGGCAGACAATGAGTTGTTCAGATAATAGCTTCATTACGTTTTAAATTTTGGCTTTAATATTTTTAGATATCCTTTTGCTCTATATTTTTCATTTATCTTTTCTTTTCTTATTTGTAAAGAAATGATTCCGGTAAATGTATTGGATTAGAATTAGTACTACTAACTGAAGCAAATAAATGAAAAAGGAAAAAGAACAGGTGATGCTAAGTGTAATAATACAAGACATAGGAATCAAGCCGATATGTATACATACATATATGTATATATATATATGTATATGTATGTATGTATATATGTGTATAAATACTGAAAAATTCAATAAAATACATTCAATGATTTAGATACCGAAAAATGCTGCCAATCATTTGTTATTTACTTTTTCTTGTTGGTCTCTCTCTGTCTCAAATTGTGCACCAGCAGATGGAATGCCATTATGTGACAGCCCCACCTCCCCCTAAGGCGAACCAAAGGGTTCGGCGGACCGCCTGCCCAGCTCTCGCCGGGACTCAGTCGTTCCTTAATCAAATCCGAAATACAACCAAAGGAATAACATACAACAATCCAAAACTTAAGTGAAACTTATATATACATTGCTATCTAAAAAGGAAGTACAACCATCAAATGTACAAAGGTTCTCACTTCACCATACAACCAGCCCGTGCCAAGCACTAGGGCGAGAACCATTACAAAAACAAAGAGCTAGACCAAGCTAGTCTATACCAAGCTCTCATCCTTGCGTGCCTTCCCCTGTTAAGGAAAACAAAACTAAAGGGATGAGCAAAAAGCTCAGTGAGGTTCCGAACACATAATCAAATAATCAATCCAATACATTCAACATAGAGCATAATAATTCAAGAAACATTTACCATGGAAAGCGATATTAACACATACATTAAAAGGATACGGGCTCACAAGGAGCCATTTGTTCGTTCGTTCGTTCGTTCGTTCTCCTGACATTTCCCCCTATTCCTCCATTCACTTGAAAATGCATTTTTGTAAGTAAAGCCCTCGTTCGTTCGTTTATTTCATTCACCCCCTTCCTAGACATTGACCGGGCTCCACCAACCTACAAGGTAATACTCGAGTATACCAAACGTTCACCCAGGTCACCATATCGCCCGACCGAGTCCACTTCTGGCTCGAGTCGATCGGTAACAAGGGGCAGTGGCCAGTTCAGCCAAAAGGCTTACATTCATGCACAAGTAACATTTCAATCGTTCAATCATTGAAAAGTTCACAATCATTTAGGCTGAGTGCGATAAAGTACACACTCGCCTAGAAAACTCGTTTTGGCTAATCATTGAAAGCGTTTAACATGTTATCAGTCATATATACAAGCCATATAATCAAGAAACATAACAAACAAGGAACACTCACCTATTTACATAAAACAACGTGCAAATATCCTTCTGGATATTACCTCAGTCACCAAGAAAACCTAAGAGTAAATGAGAAAGAATATTACAGTCTATCTAGCACAAACAAGTAAGTGAAATCAAAGAAAAACCGGCAATTGATAAGTAAAACGTATAAAGTATAAAGATGCCTTTATAGTGAAAAGGGAATATTTGGATCGGAGGATGAAAATAACTAGGGTTTCATAAACCAAACACAAAACTAACTCAAGCGGGTTATAAAATGTCCGGCGGAAAACACTTGGACCAAAGACAACTCGGACTACAACGAGATAGGCTAAAAATATTGTTTTCGGAATCATTTAGATAGTTCAAAATCAACTCGTACCCAAGCAGCTAGTATAGACTAAGCGTCATGATAAAATCATGTTTTAAAATGGAAAGCCGGTCATGGTATTGGCCAAACCAAAGTATACAAGTTCAAATAGAAACTTAGCCCTTG